TAATCAGTGGTGTATGAGACATATTTGATGTTATTACACTTCAAAACTGTAATCTTAAGTAACACAATCGCAAATCTTATATAAAATGATTGATCCATATTTCTATTTCTTCTCAGTGTTAGCTATAGTGAAGTTCTTTCACCCTGTTAAGTTTACCTGACCTTTAATTAGAAGTCCTTACATAACAGTTAATTTTTGACTTAAAGTGCCTGTAGCTCTCTGCTCTGTTTGATATATGTGATAAAATCCTGATAAGAACACTGTAGGGACAACAGCAGTAGGCTGAACCTGTCAGAATTGAGAAAGCATCTGTGTCATAGTAGAAGAGAAGACTTGTACTATTTCAGTACTTCTTTTTTGATACCCAGGTTCTTCTCTGAAAGCTACCAAACAAAAATAACAGTGAAATGTGAAACCTGGAAGTGATTTCCATTTTATAATACTATGGATAATAATGCATATATTTATATAGTAAACCAAAATAGTTTCAAATATTTTGTCAGACTCCAGAAATAAACATTTTTTTTCTTTCTTTCTTTATTTTATTTTTATTTTTTTTAATTTTTCAACAAATAATACACTGCATATATTCTTCTTAGTGGTTAATTGCTGTACAAGATGCGGACTTGTGATCCTATTTACAAACTCCATTAGAACAAATCATTCTATTCATTAACAGAATGTAACTATATATCTATCCCAACCACTTTGAATACACAGATACAAAATGGACATTCATCTGTATACCCCATTTTTCCTAAGTTCCGTTATTGAATATTATAGGTGTGTAAACTCAGCAAAATATTCTAAAAGAGTCCAGTAGCCCATAATAGCATTGGGTCTTCTGTTTAACTGCAATGTCAGAAATTATTGACCTGAGTCCCCCACAGCTCAACTTAACAGCATGGCTTTATTTCTTATAATTTCGTCTTCATACTTTTCTGCTGGATGGTTAAGGCCAAGGTAAAGCAGGACCTATGCAGCAAGAGTTGTAGCTTTTTGGTCTGAGAAGGTCAGTGAAATGCCCTCAGGATTTGTCCTGAGATCCTGTACCTCAGATTGTAGAACCTTTATCAGTGCAGCCATGTGGATGAGTCACGGCCAATGCTTGGCCAATGTGCTCTCTGTGAAAGCGTGAGAGAGTATCTTCTCCCCATGTAACTCTCCTTAGGCCCACTCTATGTCATTGATTGTTTTTTTAAACAAAACAAAACAAAACAAAGAAACATGAGAAAAGTTAATAACCCAATGAAAGAAAACATCAGAGGTCAAGCAAGCAATAATGCTAACTAGAAAATAATAATTTAAAATAACTGATTTTAACACTTTATACAGAGTTATTAAAGAATAAATGTTCATAAATAATACAGTAAATTTTTAGGAGAAGGAAAACTATCATATACATAATATTTTTTCCCATTTCAAAATCAAATACAGAATAATATGTGTAAGGATAGGAAATAATTAATTATTAGATTATGAATATGGAGTTTATATTTGAATCATTAAACTACACAGTCTCAAACACATTTATTTTGAGCAGTTTATGAAATTGTTCTTGTCCTATAGAAAGCATAAAAATATCCATCTTCATTGAAAATTTGAAATAAGAAAGAGATAGTACCCTACTAGGTAAAACAAGACTGCTAGTAGAGTATTATTGGTATGTTCTTGGTGATATAATACAATTGAAATATTATACAGACTTTGTAAAATTTTCCCAGTGATTTATTTATAACAAATTTTATATCTAGTTAATAAAATAGATATTTATTTTTACCACTCTAAAATGTAATTGTCAGTCTCATGCATTTTTCTTTCTTGTTTTAGTGGTGGTTACCATTTAAATTATCCATATTCTGATGAATATTAATATGGAGGCCTGCATACTATCTCCCATCAGAAACTCCTGTGCACAGATATGGATGAAATCAATCTTTCAATGTCAGATGTTTAGACTTTAATTCTTAGT